GTAAAAAACAAATTTTTGACATAAATACCTAAATGTTTTTTTGGCCTATAAAACCAGTATTTGGCTAAAAATATTAATTCTTATTGACTAGAAAAAGGTCTTTAAACGCTCAAAATATATGTTTTGTGGTCTATTTTAAGGAAATCTACCAAAAAAGGTGAATTTTTATCAATAAATTATCGTCATTTTTACTTGAAAATGCATTTTTTTCTCTTTTTGAGTAAGATTTTGCATAAAATGCGTATTTTCAACCAAAAATGTCAAGAATAACATCTTTCCTGTTCTTAATTTGTAATGTTTTTTATCAAAAAAGTAAATTTTTATCAAAAACAATTTAATTTTCGACTATATGTAATTGTAAAATAAGTAAACTTTTAAGAAACAAATTTTGGTTTTTAATAAAAAATTCCTGTCGGGTTATTTTTACGAAATTTGGTGAAAAACAGTGAATCCCCACGGAAAATATGTGTTTTTGATTAAAAACATGTTAGTTAAAAAAACAAAATACAACAATTTTTGACCTAAACAAACATTTTTTTCGCCAAGTGAATAAAATTTTTTCAAAAAGTTAATAAAAACGCGCATAGACGTGCTTAAATTTGTGATTTTTTGGCCAATTTCAGCAAAATCTTATGAACAGAAATGAATTTTTATTAAAAAAAAACGTAAATTCAATTATTTGACATAAGTTTTGTTTTTCCGGCCTATCTAAGTAAAATTTCGAGTAATTATAAGTGAGTTTTACTAAAAAAAGTAAATTCTTAATTTAAAAATGTGTTTAAATCTGTTTTGTGGTCTATTTTAAGGAAATCTATTAAAACAAGTAAGTTTTTACAAAAACTATTGATTTTTTATTCAAAAAGGCACGAAAAGCGATTAATCTTTGCCATTTTTGACTTAAAAATGCTGTTTTCCTTTTTTTTTGTGTAAGATTTTGGAGAAAAATTGATTCTTTGACAAAAAACTCAATTATTATCTCCAAAACGCATATTTGTTCAAAAAATGCAAGAATAACATCATTCCATTTTATAATTTGCAATTGTTTCAAAAAGTAGATTTTTAAACTAGATATGGCATGTGAAAAACTAAAAAATTTAAAAATATTTTTGTAAATTCGCAAATTGCAAAAAAATTTTCAGACTCAAAATTTCTTAATTAGCTTTTCTAACTGAACAATCATATTTAGATACTTATTTATTATACTAGACGATAAAAAAATTGTTTATCTACAAGTGGACTTTTTGCACGAGTAGATAACCAGTCTTTATCGTCGTGTATAATATTTCGTTTTATTTTGTACTCACCTACCAGAATTTCTTGAATATAAACAGTAGATAAAAATTACTTTATTTCACTAGACGATAAAAGACTGCTTTATCTACTGAAATTAGTTGATAAATGCACTTTTTAACATTGTGTACAAAGTAAATTATTAAAAAATACAGGGTACGGTTATAGCATTTAATTATTATTAATATACAACACAATTACCTAAATAATAAATACATGCAGCAACATACTTGTATACATTTTAGAGTCATTCAACTTATTTAATTATAATTTTTACGCACGCATAATTTTATACCGGAAAATGAAAGAATATAGGTAGTTGGAAATAGCCATTATATCCATAAAATATTTTATGTATCCTCAAATAATAAGTTTTTCTGTAGGTGGTAAGAAAATAATATAAAAAAAAACACAATTATTCAAGCAACAGATGAATTTTTATAATTTTTAGAAAAACAGTTATTTAGCTATAAATTACAAACGTTACATTGACGTTTTCAATAAATGCAAATCAATTTATTACATTTTTTACATAAATGCAAATTTTTTTACATACCTACGCAAATATTTGTAATTTGTTTTAACCTTGTACATCGTCCTGAGAAAGTAAATTTTTTACTTTTTAGCATTTTTAATAAATATTTTTACTTTCAATTAGATAAATTTTATTTCCAACACTTCATCCAGCTTTGGACTTTCAATTTCACTCTCTTTTTATCAGTTACTCAACATCTCGTTGTCATATTAAATTAGCATTTAACTTGCATTTAATAATTTAATTAACAAAAATCATGTTGCTAAATTTAATTTTATTGACTTGGTGACAGTTGCAAAATTGCAACATGGACATAAAACACTGAATATTCTTACAATAAACTTGTCTTGGGTAATAAAAGCAGTTCAATTAGATATAGTCTTGTTGTTTAATTACACTTTTGGTCATAAATTGAAACAGTTCAAAAATGAAATTAATTAAAGTTATCACTTTCTATAGCCCACGATGTTGTAGTAAAATGTTAGAATCGTCGATGCAGACTTTAATGGTTGATAAAGAAATGAAACGGTTGTTGATGTGGGTAAGTATGTCGATGGAGAGATATTTAAACCTTGGGGCAATTTTCAAGAAATAGAAGATTCAGTGATCCGCACCTGATAGGTTGTAAACCTTAGCGAAAGTGCTTCATATCAGTCTCCAACCAAATCTTGTCTTTCTAAATTTTACTTTCTGTTATTCAAAATTCACGCATTTTATTCATTTGCATTTGCCTAGTTTTGATCCTTCCACTCTATCTACTACATCGCCTATTGTAAATAGTAGCATAATAGAATCATTAGCATACTATGCTATGTGTTAAAAACCATCACCATGAAAGTTTTTCTTGAAGTGAATTTTTTTCACCACGTAACTGTTATTTCAATTGTTATAATGGCATTTTAAAGATTTAGCACCTTATGGCATTCAACCTGTTTAGTTTATTTCATCAAATATTGATTTACTACTCGTAATATGATAAGAAGGTCTATTTTTAGTTAACAAGATTTTTCATTGAGAGAAAAAACATTGTAATAATTAAAATTTGGCTTTAAAATATAGTTTTTTTACGAAGAATATTTCAAAACGATTGATAAAATAAAATTCTGGTATTTTTTGATTATCTAGTTTTTTATTTCATATTTTTTTTTAAATAGTTTATTGTGCTATTTATTGTTTCTAAACGAGGTTTTTTTATAGCTATCCAAAATTTTGAGGTGTTTTCTTATACAAGGTGAGTCAGAACTCGCTTCCCAGAAAAAAATTTGAGGTAAGGTAAGATACCAGAAACATGGAAAAAATATTTAAAAAATTCTATTTCTCAAAATTTTTTTGGACATTTGACATTTTTTATGTCTATTTAATGATACATTTTACAGAGTTACAATTTAGAATACAGCTTTCTCGTTTTTTCTTCTAAAAGTCTGTGGCAAAAAAACTGGGAAAATAAAATAGAGTCAAAGTGCTAAATTTAAACTTCGAAATTTTTGTAGATAGAACTTTTTATTAATTTTTTTCATGTTCCTGGTTTCTTACCTTACATGGCATTTTTATTGGGGGCGCTAGTTTTGGCTCATCCTGTATAAATACATATATCTTTTATTCAAACTGATACGCAGATTAAAAATAGCGATTTAATTAATGATTTATTTATTTATTTTATTCAAATTCTAAATATTTGTTTTTCTGAAATGCTAAATATTTAGTAATAGCTATATTTAAAAAACCTTAATTAGTATAGAAAATACAGACATGCAGTTAGCTTAATTAAAGTGAAAAGATGTTTATAATGGGTGTTCACATTGTCAAACAATAAGCTGCAACATTTTCTGCATGCTAATTTATTGTAATTCACCATATGTATTTTAATGGGAAAACATTCAACAATTTAGAGCACTTCTGTCATTTCTTCGAATTAAGTTAATGTGAAACTATGATGAATAAACCTATTTTTTTAGTAACACAATTATTTTATTTTTCGAGTTACTTTTTTTGTGGTCAAAATTAAGTAAAGAGTGTATGAACCACAGGCATGTTTAAAATGTATATAGCTCTGAGCATTTAAAAGCCCTCCCCGCTGCGGTCGGGCTTTAAATCATTTTTTATTTTTAATTTAAAAAATAAATAAAATTTTAGAAAAATAAACTGACCTAGGTATCTATTAAATAAAATAAAGTGATTGGCTTGAAACACTTTGTGCACTGATGAGTTAAATTAGTTGTAGGTAAAAATGCGACATGATCTTTTAAATTACAGTACATTTCATGGTTGTTAAATTTAACAAAAAATTGTTAATGTGTGCTTTTGCTATTATCTTCTTAAGTATTTAATGAGATATTATGTTTTAACCAGTGATTTAATTGCGCAGGCGGTATCTTGAAAGTTGTCCACACTGTTTCAAACCATATAGAACGATGTATCAAGAGAGAATCTTGTTAACCTCGTTTGTTTTTTAAAGACACATTTTTAATATACTTAAATAATGTTAATATTTACAATTATATATACAATTATTTTGTTGGCATTTGCAAAATATTGCTTTAAAGTGGATTCAATAATAAATAAATGTTACAAGAACTTTTTATGCTAAACCCACCATCTATAGAGCGTTTCAAAATGATTGACATCTCGGTGGGTCATGGGTCAAATTTAAGTTTTGTCGTTTTTGCACATTTTCGCTCCCATTTTTCCAAGTATGTTCACATTAGTAAATTTTTTGCACTAAAATTAAAGCCTGATTTACATTCTCAACGTCAATCACTTTGAAACGTTCTATAGCTAATGCTTGTTACTTTAAATTTGAGAACTTATTACAAAATTATGGCAAATGGCATATGTTGTAACAAAGAATTAAAAACGAATCAATTAGCTTTATTCTGCTCTGCTGAAGGTTGTCCTGTAATGTCTACATCCACGATATTTTGCAGTTTATGAAAATAATAAAATTTCATAAAGTACTATTTGCCATGACAATACAATTTTAAATTAATCTAGCACGGTATTAGTTACGCTGTTTAGTTAATTTTCCTTGAACTGAATCACCAGGACCACAAAGTAACTGTAATCAAAAAACTGTGTTAAATTAAAGCTTGAAAGTATTTTTTTCTACTTTTGAATAAAACAAGTGATTTTTCTTTGTTATTAATTATTTTTCAAAACTGTTTTTTTTTTGTTTTAGTGATGCCAAAGTGTACACATTCTCATGGCTGCAGTGGTTAGCCATGCAATGCGACGATTTCCAACAACTCAGCCTGATGCCGTGTATTCTTACGGTCTAAGGGTAAGTAAAAATAACAACTACAGAAAAATCTGTTAAAAAAAATAAGGTAAGATAGTAGCATGGAAAAAATGTTAAAAAAATTCTATCTATAAAAATTTCGAAGTTATGAGAATTGACTCTATTTATTTCTCTTGGAAAAATAATTTTCCAAGTTTTCTTGCTACAGGCTATTAGACAAAATATTAAACAAAATAATACTACTTGTTCATTTTTTCATTATTAGTAGCGAATATCAGTGAAAATTGTATAGGTTTTATAACTTTTATAAAACAAGGCTAATTGGCTAAATTTTTTTGGTATAAAATATTTATTTTTTTAAAATAGTTAAATAGTTAATTAGTATACTTTAAAATTTAATGACATTTTAGAAAAAATGGAAGTAAAACTAATTTCTTAAAGTTTTTTCACTTTTCGAAATAATTTTTTTTCATGTGTTATTTTGTTTTTATTTTTATTTTATTGTATACCATAGCATTTTTTTATGTTGCCATTAATATACGCTTTTCTATAAAATACGTCGTCAATCACAACGTACCAGGATTACAACTATCTCCTTTATATTTAATTTTAAAAAAATTACATAAATTGCAATTTTGACAAAAAAAATCGCATAACTCATAAACGAAACGAAATTTCGTTCTAAAAATAGGTAAGTACACGTTTTTTATTTTACTTTAATTTATATTAATTATTATTTCCTGGAAGCAAATGATTTAAAAAAAACCGCTTCCAATATTTTATATTCACTTTTTACCCTTATCTTGGTATTTTGTCAATTTTGACAAATTTTATTATAACAATTTCAGATTCAACATTAGTGATGGAAAAAATTTTGAAGACTATACAGAGTGCGCTCGAACTCGGGCCCCAGAGAAAAATGTATAATATATAAGGTAAGATACGAGGAACATGAAAAAAATGTTAAAAAAAAATTATCTATAAAAATTTCTAAGTCATGAGAGTTTAAAATTTGCACTTTGGCTCTATTTATTTCTGTTCTTGGAATAATTTTCCAAGTTTTTATACTACGAGTACAGTCTATTAGAAGAGGAAACAAATAAGCTGTATCATAAATTGTAACTCTGTTTTTAACGTTATTTGTGGCTTTTATTGGCAATTTTTTTTTTTACTAAATAATTGTACAAAAACATAAACAAGATCATCATTATCATTAAATAGACATAAAAAAGTTAAATGTTAAAAAAATATGTTAAAATTTTTGACACAAAATTTTTTAAACATTTTTTCCATTTTCCTGGTTTCTTATCTTACTTGAATTTTTTTCTCTGGGACGTAAGTTCTGACACCTTGTATTTATGAAAAAAATTGCTATTTTAGTACAAATTGTAGTGCTTTTAGAGGGATATTTGAAGAAATACGGGGGGTTTAGGATAAATTATGAATTAGGATTAAAAAAACATAGAACAGTCAAAATAATATGGAATTTAACTACTTTTGCTAATCTTCAATAGTTCTCAAGCCACAAATCTTGTTTTCCATTCGAAACAATTAATTTGTTGTGCAAAAATTAACAATCCAAAAACCCAAGCTTGTCAATTTGAAAAATGTGGTTTTGAGAGTTTTTCTGCGGTTTGACCAAATGAGGCGAACAATGGATGAAAAGTTCTCTTATTTCTGATAAAATGTGTAGGTGATTTACAGCACACCTTTCACATCTTTAAATCTCATTTTCAGTAACCAGAATCTGAAATTTTTTTCAAATTATTGTCTTATGTAAGATTAGTTAACAGTGCAATTGTTAGCACCGTTATTTACGTTAACAAATAACATTCAACACGGAAGATTACGTAATAATTTCACACAGTTCATATTTGCTTTTGCGAGAAGCTAGAAAGAATGCGTAAATGTGAATTTAAACGTTGTCTGGTATGATACCAAAGATTCATTCCGTTATTTCCGTCATGAATAAGCGAATTTTGTAAGAAACGGTATTCGATGTCTCATCGTGTTGTGGTTCTACTTTTGATGTTTTGGTGGGAAGTACATAATGTTGCACAATTTCAAATTCCAGATTTGGAGATGTCAAGGCTGATTTATCAAAATTTGAACAATTTCATGAAGTTGGTGTAAAATGGAGAAAAACATCTGTTGATTAATTAAAGGAAATTCAACTCTCACCAGTTGTACAATTATTTCATAATTTATTACTCCTATCGTCTACTTTACTTTTAATATTGACAATGCAATGTTGATTCTCACTGAAATGATTATAAATTTTTATAAAAATAATTTTACGCAAACTCATTTGTGAAATTATTTATTTTATGACATTGGAGCATAAAGGAATTAATAAGATTCTTAATAGTCATTTGCATCAAATTCAATTAGAGAATTAATTTGCTCTCAAATTTAACGGTTTCAAAAGCCGACAAAAGTGATCATAAAATTAATACCAGGTAGGTTTTAATAGTAAACATTTTTAAGTACAGAGTGTTCAGTTTTAAATAGATTTTAAAAATGCACTTGATGTTGAAATTATGTGTTGCACTTTTGTTATAATTTTTATTAAATTAATTACGAGACGAAATAATGAAATTAAGTGATTGGCAAAACAAGAATTGGCAAAAAATCAACATATATTTTAGGACTGTAGAAACATTCTTTTGTTGTTTTTCACTTTTGGATAAAAAACAAAATTGTTGAAAAAATATTGTTTTTTTTTGAAGATTTGGCACTTACGTGTGCACAAGCTATAAGGAAGTATTTCCAAAGCACGAAATTAAAAAACTAACCTTTTAATTATAACCCAGTGAAATAGTTTAGTTTAGAACCTTGAAATTTGTACATTTGAGGTCAACATAAAAGAAATAAAGGCTGCGCTTGCATAAGACATGCTATTGCTAATATGCATTGTCCAAGTCCAAGTCTGCATATTTTTTTTTAAATACTTGTATGTTACAATGTCAATATTAACAAGAAAGTTACCTCAATATAAAACGGAAAGTTTCTACATTAGATGGATACATTGTTTTGAGCAGTTTGAGTTATAGAAATTGCAATTTTGCAAAACGAAGACTAATTTTATATTTGCAACACATTTTCATAATATTCATTACATAATGGGTTAATATATGTTGATGTGATAAATAATTTATAAAAGTGTATTATAATGTGGGTATTTAGGACGCTTTTCCTCTTAATTTTATGTAAAATGCGCGAAGTTTTCTCTTGGGTTAGCTCTAGTGTTTCTCTGAATGTAATTTATAGTCACATTGTGATTAATACAACAAAATAAAATTTTATAGTGTGACCATATTAAATACCTAATAAAAACAGCTAAATGGATATAATCAAAAATGAAAATATTTAGTTAATCTGGGATTTTTTTAAGTAAACATCATTTCAAAATTTACAATGTGTATAATTTATTGTTATTTCTTAACAAGTTATTTC